CCGGCTCGTCGTCGGGAGAGAGAAAAGTGGCGGGAAAAGCAGGGGAGTGCGTGGGCGCAGGATCGATGAAGGACGCAAAATGGCGACGACGCGAAAGGATAGAGCGCGAATAGACGCGCACGCGGCGTGAGGAAAAGAGAAAGGACGGCTGTCTCTCTCCCTTTCTCTTGCGGACGGCGCGAAAGAGAGGACGGAGCCACCAGGGTCGTTAGGGGAAGGAGGCGGACGGTGAAGGAGGAGGCGGCGATGAAGGAGCGTCGCGGAGAAAGAGAAAGGTGAGGTATCGGGAGGAATAAAAAGAACCGCGCGAAAAAAATTGAAGCCGACGCTGGAATCGAACGTGGTCTCTGGGTCAAGGATGCCGAGAGTGAAAATCAAAGAGTGCTGGGGCGGGCGGACGCGCGAGCGCGCTCGCGCGCGCGCGCGCGTGATCGCAAGCAGCTTCGAACTGATGTACGAGGGCGGATTGTTTTTATTTCCCTTTCGTTCAGTAAATGAAATTCCATTCTATAAACACGGGGTATTTGTATCTGAGGATGTTGTAACGCGAGCGTGAAACTTATCGAACATCGAACACTCTCTTTTTCGCCCCGATATTTTTCCCCCCGCACTTAAAGTAGCTGTTTCTTTCAGTGTGTTTATTTAGCGCAATTATATTTTAATGAGATTAATTATTTATTTGATCGTTCCGATGAGACTGCATCTCTCTTTGAAAGTTCCACCGAGGAATAATCTTTTTTGTGTATGTTTACGAATATCATTATTTATTACTGGATTATTAATTTATTGAAAACGATAAAGATACAAACTTACAAAAAAATCATTTTTGTTGTAATAATATTGTAATAATTGGCGTTTTTATATGTTCTTACTGGTGCTTCATATGTGTGCATAATGATGCTCTTTCAAGAAGACTTCTGCACATCAATTTTTTACACCACTGTGCTTTGAAAAAAATTCGTTTTTATCTCTTTCAGCTTTGCTTCCTAAGAGATCTAATAATAATGGTTCTCGTGTGTAATATTGGTCTAATTAATTAAGATCGTGTTTTAACGCTTATCGGTCGCGGATCGCTACGTGGCAGATTTTTGCTGGCGCAAAAGACTATCGGAAGCTATTACTAGATTATTCCCCTCAAGCACGAACCTTCGTCCTCTTTTTCGTTCGTGCGTAATTCTGGACGCAAGTTTCCTCGGGTCAGCCGGATATCCCCCTACCTTGCGTCCCCGACGTGAGATTCATTAACTTACACGAGCGCGGCTGCCGCTCACGTCGGCCGGCCGCTCGACGGAAAAGTGTAATCGACAAAGTTTATCGAATGGCAGGGAGGGTACGAAGGGTCGAACCCGAAGGGAACACGGCACAGGGAGGGCGATTTTCCCTCGTCGCTCCGGAGAATATGTACGGCGTAAAGTAGTAGTCCAGCTCGTAAAGTAGTTCGTCCAATCTGGCTGAGAGGGAAGGAGAGAGGCAGAGAAAGACAGAGAGAAAGAGAGAGAGAGAGGGAAGGGAAGCATTTTTGTTCTCTTAAAAGTCGAATGGAAAATTGTACGTGGTTTATTGCACGATACCTCCCTCGCGAGTTTCCACGCGATTCTTTTATTTGTCGGCAATCACAAGATGTCGACCGTCCCGGGGTCTCGCGGGTCGAGCGTAATGAAAGTTTCGCGCGGCGTCGCGTCGGTGTCGACCATCACTCCTCAGCTGGATATCGCTCAATTATTTATCGCGCAAACTTCCGCCGACCTCCGCTGTTTTTCGCTGAAATAATTCGACGATTCCCAAGCGAAGGCTATTTACGACGGTCTCGCCAGGTATCGCCGCGGCGCCGTCGCTGCTGCTTGCCTTTCGCGACAGCTCGTAAAATTGAAGCAGCGCGCCCGCGAGAATAGGCGAGATCTCGAGACTCCTCTGCGAGAGAGGATCGAGTTAATTAGATATTGAATTAATGCTCCTAGGAGATGTAGCGCGCGACACGAGATGCTCTGTGTCGGGGCGGTGGCGGCGGTCTCCTGCGAATTTCCTGGATCGCAAAAATAACCTCCCGTCAACAATCGCAACTCTCATCTCCTCTTTCGTCCTCTTTCCTGGAGCGCCTTTCACCACGAACTCCATCATCCCTATAGGCCCTCGTGTATGTCGGGCGTGTTGGGGAGAGGAAGGGGGGTGCGATCGGCCTCTTCTTCGCGGGATTTTAATTACCGGCGTATCCTTACTCTTAATTAATTATCGCCCCGTACCGCCTCTAAATAATTTTAATTAGAATCGTCGAACGGTATTTTCTTCCCTCTCGGACCCCAAGCCGGCGATTACGAAATTTAATTACCCGCCAGGTATGAAGCGGTTCGATATCGCGCCCTTTAAATCTGCCGGATATAAATTCTCACTCGATAAGAACATTGACTTCCGCTTGCGAGTCTTTTTTTTTCTCTTCTCGTTAACTCTAATCCAATTCGTCTTATTGGCTTACAATCTGTGAAATGTTCTCCGCGTGGTCGAAAATCCGGTTTAACGTATTTGAATGTCCTTTTGTTGAGACCTGAGGAAGATCTTATTGTCTGGAGCAGAGTTCCTAAGCCACTGAAAGAGCCAGGCCAACTTATTCGGCTTTGAAGAACTCGGTTTATCCTCGCCCAGTATAAATCGTTCATATATTCGTGCGATGAAGCGAGTTCTTGCTATGGGTAAATTTATTTCGAAATTCTCTACGTATTTAATTAATCTAATACTCATTAGTTTTTGTAACCCGTGCTCTATATATGTATGGACGGCGCGCGCGCGCGTGAATAATCGGTTTGCCCGTTGTTAAATTTCATTTGGCTCACGTTATTTGCGTAAATATTAATAGCGAGCGCGCGAGTTGGTTCGGCGAAGTAAGTTCCGGGTGCCCTTCTGGGCCGGCTGGTGCGTTCGGTTACGGGAGTAGGGGCGGGGGGCGCCCTTTCTCTCCGTGAAAGTCCAAGGGGAGTTTCTCTCCCGTGGATGGTGGCGGCAACGCCAAAATGGTGGGTGGCTCCATAGCGGAGTGACTTCCGCGCCAGGTACTTCGTAATGGCGAAGTTTACTTTGGCCATTTGTATCGGGCGAACGTAGATGAACGCGAGGGGGTGAGCGGGGGTTGAGCAGCGGAGAAAGAAAACGGTATAGAGTAGACAGAGTGGAGCGAGATGAGAAAGACATATAGAGGGCGAAGCGGAGAGAGAACCGAGCCGCGAGATGATGCAGTGACGCGCAACCTTCAGCACAAGTTTGTCCTTCCGTTAATTCTGTTCATTCTCTTTGTGGCACGTTTGAAAATCAGTTGAGATTAGATCAATCATTTTTGGACACACTTCGCCGGAATGTAAATTCAGCTGAAAATATCGCGGGTCATCAACGCGCCGCGTTATTATCGAATATTTCTGCCTGATGTCGTGTCGCGGAAGGAACGGAGTCCGCGATCGTTGAAAGTTGCGCGTCACTGCACACCGGGGTAACGGCGGGATCCTCGGGAAAGGGAGAAAAGGGTCGAACTCGGCGGCCATAATAATTCACGATGTAAAGCCAAAGTACCGCGGCCGGAGGAAAATTTCGCGAGAGGCCGCGCCATCCCCCGTCCTTTCTACGCGCGACGTCGATAAATTAGCTTACACTTTTTACATAATGCGACGAGAACGAGGACCACGGAGGACGCGAGGTCGTCCCTCCGATGTAGGAGGAGGCGATGGCTCGCTCGCTCGGGCTCCCTTGGCCCCCCCTCGTCCCCCCCGCGAAGCTGCCTGGACGCCGTACATCCCCGGGAAGGTGTGTACCTAACTACCTCAAACTCGTCGGCCTTCTCGGGTCAAATTAATTCCGGTATTAAAATTTGGCTTGCAAATATTCTGGACCCGCGGCTACGCGTGTGCGGGGGCTGCACACGTGCACGCGGGTGGTCGTCGCTGCCACGACGACGTCGACGACGACGAGGAGGAGGACGACGAGGAGGACGATGAGGGCGACGTCGACGACGAAACCCCGCGTGCATTCACCTACTCGTCGGTTCTCTGCGCCGTCACGCACACGCACGGCACACGTACGGCCCCCTTCGGTATGTACCTGCGCGCGTACGTGTACGCACGTAATTTACATCTGTTATTACGGGAGGCCTCTGCCCGTTCCGCTCGCTTCCGCCACGTTCCGATGTTCCGACGTGCCGCCCTGCAGCGGAAGAATAAACGCACCGATGCTCGCCGAGCCGCATATTCATCTCGGTCTCTCTGTCTCTCTCTCTTGCGCTCTTTCCCTCTGTGCGGTGCGGTGCGCTGCGCTGCACTGCATTTTTTTCCCCTCGCGACGCGAGTGCAGTCGTCGGCGGTTTGTTTTCTATCGGCGTTAATGTCGATTCTTTTCATACGCGGGCTAGGCATGGCAGATCTGTTTTTTTAATTTTTTTTTGAGAATTCGCGTCTGCAACGAGTATCTGCTTTTGGTCGTACTAATTGGACGAAGACCCGTTGCTTTTTGTAACTTTGGATGTTTTGAAGGGAATTGATAGTTCTTGACTGGATTTATACGTCTCCTGAATTACAAATGCAATGCGCCCATGTAGAACTGTAAAATATTTGTTACGCATACATTTGGTATTATCAGTTTTCAACATTTCGGGGATATTATATACCCAAACAGAGACAGAGAGAAAGAGAGAGAGAGAGAGACAGAGATTTTTTATTCGTAAAAAATGCGATTTATGCAGAAATAATGTTTTTTTAAAATCGATTATCAGAATTTTTATTTGCGTAATTTTATATGAGATTTGTACGATTCGTAAGTAAATTCCGTATAGTAATTTTTAATTTTAAATCTGTGTAAAACTTTTAAAGATGATTTTTTTTATCTATATCACTGCGCTATTATTCTGCCATTTGTTTAATTCAACACCGTATTAGGGGTGGATATAGTAAGAAAGATCTGAACAACGCTTAAAATCAGGGATAGATAGATATGAAAGATGATTTTTGCGCTCATCTTTAAATTCTTACCTTAACTTTCAGTCGTGCTATCGCAGATTTACAAGTTTCCGATCGGCACAGGATCCGCTTGCTCAGATTGATGCGATGCCGCGATGATGCAGCCGAGTACAACGCCGTCGTGTCGCTACTGCGTAGTGCGTTCATTCGAGGTTTCAGCGCGGTGCGTACATACACCGGCAAATTCTCATGAAAATTTTCATATTCATGTATTCATTGTTTATCGGCGTGTGGTCGACGAGGTGGTCTGCGGGGAAAGCAGATAGATATAGAGAAAAAGAGGGAGAGAGGGGGAGGTCGAGGGGGTGGATGCGATTGAGTTGCGTGCAGTCATGAGGGAAGCGCGGGATGAAGGGGGGGAGGGAGGATACGTAAGAACAACAAGGCTGGTAGACAAAGGTCGGCCGTGCAATGCTATGCCGCCGACGAAACGACCTGCTCCGGAGCTGCCATCACGGTCGACCTGTAATTGCTCGATCGCTCGTAAAGGCTCGAGTGCGATGCAGTTTACGGTGCAGTTTACGCCAATGGGTCGTCGTTCGCGCCAGCCGCGTCGCCGTGCGCGTTCCCACGCAAGGCCGCGAAGTACGAGCAGAAACGAGCCATATTCTGCTTCCGTAACCCCCTTCTCCCTTCACAAAAAAGATGAGTCCGCTGGGACCGATGAATTTCGTGCCGAATGGACCTCATAAGTAATTTAATCTTCTCTGTTTTACCCCTTTTGCACCTTGCTTATTTAGAACGAAACAAACGTGTCTTTGCTTTGCAAAAGTATCTGAAAACTGTCGTAAAAGCATTTAAATAACGTCGTCCAGTCGCGTACTCTCTGTCGTGCGCGAGCAGTAAAATACAAACAAGAATTATTTCCACGGCGCAGTCCCGGTGAGCCTTCGTGATAGCGAATGAGTTAATTTTGTCTTGCAAGGCAGCCACAAGGCCTCGGACAGGTCACGTAAGACAAACGCGATTAATCCGCTCGTCCGTAATTTAAGCGCAGTTTCCCTGAAACTGCGATCTGCACGGCTAACTCACCCTCGGGGCCAGACGGCACATTTATTTTTCCACGGTAGTTGAGCTTTCACATCGTCTGCATCCCTACACCGTATCCCGCCGTACCCACCCCGCATAAGTAATCCTCCACCCCGCATAGGTAATTTTCGTGACGACCTCGTAGTCGCTGTCGCCGTCCACGTTAATGCCCACCGACTGAATAAACGCCTATGCGCGTCGTACACGAAGAACGACGCGGAAATATTCTGCGCGAATATATGGCGCCGCGCGCGATAAGAATTTCAATAGCGCGGAAGTAATATCGCGCAAACGACGCATGGATCGAATAATAAGAACCGGGTATCCTTGCGTCGCGCGCGACCGAGTTCGCGATCGATGGGATCTATCGGCAGATAAATTTTTATCGCGATTGCGACTGTATTCTTTTTAGCTGGGACGAATGTCACTTCCAATCAGTCAATTCCAAGCGCGGACCGCAATTGAGCGAAGTTGAAGGGACCGCCTCATGGTCCGGTGAGCCCGATCAAAAGGGTAAAGCAAGAAAGCGGACTCCTCGCGCGAGCGTATACCGCGAAAACGAATTTACGGGGGGGTACACGAGGCAACAAGAGGGCCTCGTTTTAATTGATCCAAGCCGCTCTTCTGGGTCGTGATCAAAACTCCGCCGTCCCGAATTTGATCTGCTGAAAGCTTCTTGTATAATTGGACGTAATGCCCTCGTTGCCTTCGAGAATGCGAACGGGAGACAGACCGTGTTGAGGAGGGGAGGGCGCAGGGACAAGTTGGAAGAGAAAACCGCGGAAGGATGGAGAAAGTGAGGGAACAAGGATTGGCGCGAAGCGATAATAAGAGCGAGAGAAACGAGGAAGACAGATCGTTTAGAACCGGCGACCGTGTTGCGAATTCGATTGTCCCACGGCATTTCCCTGCCCTCCGTCTGTCTTTCCCGTTCCGTCCATTCCCTCTTGCCGTCTATGCCGAGGTTACCTACGGTCCTTGTTTTTCACGCACCCTCGCGGCAACTCGCGCGGTCTCAGGACTCACGCGCGAGTCGCCCTTCCGAAGGGCGAAAACCTCACCAAATAGAGTCCTGTGCCCTCGCGCCGACCGGGGCAGGGGGGCGGGGGACGGCTTCAATTTTTCGCTCGTTGCACCTGCGGCTTTCAGACCGACCCTCTCCCAGCCCGATCGAGAAAACCTGTTCGACAGCCGATCGGCCGCGGCGGTTAGGGCGCTAAGGGTGACGTCCCCGCACATGCACTCCGTACCGAAAAAAATTCACCCTCCGGCTGAGGGTCGACCGCCATCTAGCAAGCTCGGTTCTATGTGTTGGCGTATAAAAGTGGTTAATCGCCTCATGTTTCTCCTGTGTTCTTTTTTTTCTTCAAAATCCGTAAAATCTCGAATGTTTCCAGATGCGAATTTCTTAATTAAATATGCAGTATTATAATTATTATAGTATAATTATATCATACTTTGTTATATCATGCTATTGGATATTTTTTGGGTAATTTTTTGGGTCATTTTTGAAAATTTGCAACCGGTTCTTTCATTCATTTTTAATATAAAATACGTTCTATGATATGCATTTTTAAAAGTAAAAACACATACATTTTAAAGTCGGTTAATCTTTGGAAAGGTCAACTTTTTGATCGTATGATCAAAAGCAGTTGATTGTAATAATAATATTGTGTTTCGAGTAAAATTTTGTTGAAAGAATTATATGAATTACATTTATCTGCAATTTTAATCAGTCTTAAAAAATGAAATTTCTAATAAAAAAAAAGATTTGGGAATAAAAAGAGAAGGGTGTAATCTAACTTTCGATTGCGCAATCTAGATCCATGGGTTACGAAACGCATATTACGGTACTACGTTATCTGGCCGCAAACGAATTCTGCGATGTATCGAAAAATCGTCGCGTAGAAATATAGCGGCCGGTGGCCGCGTGATTTCTGCGGGACGTGAGGTATTATTGGATTGGGTATTGCCAACAGGTGATTCCGAAAATAACAATAATTTGATTTTGCGAAAATGTGGGTTATGAGGTCTTGCCGCGGCATTCGACAATGTGCTAATTAAGTATAATATATTTCAATCGTTTATTTCGCTATAATGAATTCCGCGTTAAGTGTTATATTACATATCGCGCCCGTGAGACCGCCGAGGTGTATATAATTGCACGTCGACGAACTCGGCGTTAATTAAAAATCAAAATCATCGCGTTCACGCGCTCTTAAATTATTTTGCCATCATTATTTTAATAATGCGCGTCTCTTCAAACCATCTCTTAAATTTCCAGCTAAATCTCATCCGGACTGTATCTATTAATTCGCAGAATCTTCGGAATTTCATCCAAAACAAATGTTCGTATAATTTTTACGAAACATTACAAAATATCACGATACAGCTGTTCGTAAAAATGATTCAAATATATTTCGAATTATTCCCTTCCGTAAAATAAGAGCCGAGTAAATACATTTCTACGGAGCTGACTTATTTTTTTCGATTAATCGAGTTAAGCGGCAGAGTAGAAGTTTCATTTCCGTCGAAAAAATTTCGCGCTGGACCAATTCTACTATACGCTTCGCAACGAAGCTCCTCGGCTTTCTTTATGCCGCGCAGCCGAGCCCGACTGCCAGAGAGTTCGCAAATACGAATGTATTTTTAAACGAGCGTTAGTGTCTAATGTTCGTCCACATTTTGCTCTTAATACAGGGTCGTAGGAAGTACGGTGCGAATAAGAGCGCCCGAGAGAAATGCGCGTGTACGTGTGCAAGGGCGCAAGGGGTTCGAGGATGGCTCTTGGAGGTATGGTTGGAGGAAGGAGAAGAGAGAAGGAAAGAGAGCCTAGATGGGTGGGGGAGGGGAGCGGCGGTCGCTGGGTTCAGTGGCAGAAACCCCCTTCGCGCTATCTCGGGGAGGGCTGTTTTTCGCGGCTCACAAAATGGCCGCCGCCCCCACCAGGCTCCTCCACTTGGTTAGAGGATGTAGAGGGCTCGAATTTTCTCCATCCTGCTCTCTTTATACCATGTTCGTTCGTTCGTTCGTTCGTTCGTTCGTTAGCGCGCGCTGCCTCGCCATCCCCCTTGCCGACCCCGTTGCTGGCCTACACCACCTCGCCCGTCTCTCTTTCTCTCTCTCTCTCTCTGATCGTCCGGGTTCCATCAACCCCCCTCCAGCCGTGTCATCCATCCCTCCTCTTGGGGCGTTCACCCCTTCCTCCGTACTTCTGACAGGCACTACTGCTGGCGGGAAGCGAAATTCAGCGTCTCCTTCCCTCTCATCTCGCTCGTCTTTCTTCCTCGTTTTTTTTTCTCCTCTAAAGTTATCCCTCTCTCCCTGTGCGCGTCCTCCTCCATCCCCCTTTCTCTCGTTCCCACTCCCCAAGCATTTCCTGCCCCGCGCGACCACCGCTACACGGTGTTCCAGCGAGGTCGCATAGGAATATTGTTACGTAGAACGGGAATGAAATTTATAACTAATTACGGGAAAAGTTTAGATGACCATCGGGTCGTTCGGTGGCCGGAAAGGGGGTGGCTGCCGTCGGGTGGAGAAGCCGAAGTAAATGGGGGACGAGGGCGACACGGGGGAGTGAGGGGGACGCACGAGAAATCGGTGGTGAGAGGAAGTTGCTCCCGGTATAGAAACCAAATTACATTAATTAGGATATTAAGCTGGCGTTCTGCGAAAATAAAACACCGACGGGGAGAGACGGTTTAAGACGGGGCCGGGCCACCCGCGATTTCGGATTTACATAAAATTCCGCCGCGTATGCACCGCCATTCGTAATTATTTTGCATATGGATAATGCAGTAACTACGTGCGCCCCGCCGTTTGTTACTACACACGAGAAACGAATCGGGAGAATATGTCGGGAATATAAATGTAATAGAACTAATACGCGCGCGCGGCTCGCGATGCAGCTGTCACTGTATCCACATAGAATGCATATTATTTGCGTGTGCGTGTACGAGACAAATCGATAAAAATCTAATTCACGAATAATTTCGAATATTAGATCCTCATTAGAGTATTACGATTAAATAATGCGGCGAGTTATAAATACCTCAGTCGACTCCACCAGCTTGATCAAAGAGAGTCCGTCATTAAAATTAAACTCGGTGGGTTTTAGAGTATCCGGCACAAAACGAAATAGAAGAAAAACAAAAGCGCGCGAGTATAACGTCCGCGTGTTTTCATTC